GCAGAGCCACCGATAAGATGATAAAATCTTGAATTTTTCCACTTGTCTTTGTCGACAGCCGATTGATATTTCAGCAGCACAAACAGCATTTCAGACCTGTGGAGATGTGTGACATGAAAGTAAGTTCATTGGTTGTTCACTTGGTTGCTCACTGCAGGCCTCTTTGCAGATCAGAAACGGAAAGGCTTCTTGAGTCTTGATGTTTGTGCTGACTATGTATTTAAATGAATATAAATGACACTTGTACAATTACTCATGGCTTCAGATCAACGTCATTCTGTCTCACTCAGTGGGCTACTCAAAGTAAAGGTTACGCCAAGGATTAGTAAGACTTCAGCAGTTCCTTGCATTTGGTTTAATAAACTTGTCAGAATATATTATGATCAGACTTCCCTTTGTTGTTTTGATGTTTTCTTTTATCATTATGTGACTCATAATGAACAAGAATAATTCACGTTAAATTCAACTTAGATATCTTATATTGTGTGCTCTCCACAATTATTGACTCACTTAAAGATGTCTGAAAATCTTTAAATATATTACTGTGTAATTGCAGTAGTATGTAGCTTGTCACATTTTGAGTTCTTTTAAGTTTCACTTTACTTTAGGTTTCGCTCTGAATAGACTATAAAACATTTGTGGATTATTTCTTGAAGGCACAGTCTTGAAGACCAAAACACGTCTAAGTTACAATAATGGCATGCTCTCTTTTCTTACCCATTTTGAAGGGTGTCTAGGAAAAATTAACATCTGCATCATGTTGTGTTTTGAAAGAATAATTGGACTACATCATCACAGATCCTCCACCCTATAAACATTAGTCATGATATGTTTTATTTCCGCAGATTCATTTTTTGTTTTATGCCAAATCCACTTGCTTATAATTGTGCTAATTGGACAGAAAAAGCTTAATTTTAGCCTCAAGAACCATCAGTTCTTATGGAGACTGTAATGACCCCAAGATGCCTTTATTTGTTGCAATTTTCTATCAGTCAGCTTTTAACTTCGCTGATAAGAAAATCCTGGGTTCTCATCTAGCCTGATGGCCAGTGGCTAGAAAAGGGCGTCTTATTTGTGTTATATTTATACACCAATGAGAAAGAAAGTCAAACATTATTGATGAAAATTCATTGAACTCTGTCTAATTTTTAAATGTAAAGTGCAAATTAAAATGTATATCAGTTACATTAGTTTTCAAATCAACATTTGGGGTTCCAGCAATTGTACCACATGGTATATTTTCTTAAGATAGATTTTTTTTTTTTTTTTTTCCCCCACTGGATGCTGTATTCAACTTGAAGTTGTTTGTCTTTCTCTTTACTATCATACTGTTGCGGTATATGAGTAATTTATTTTATAGAGTGTTTTTTGACCCATCTTCACCAGGGGTGCCAGTAACTGTGGAAAACGCATTACAGAGGCTAAACAATATGTTCCACTCTTTAGCCTCTAAAATGGGTTCCCCTGCACTTCACAAACATCAAATATCCCATTATGCAAACCAGCAGTCACTGCCTCCTCCTCTGAAACCTGAAATATTGCTTGCCCTGTCACATGTCTCAGCACCAAATTGGCTTAGCCAAATTTAGGATTTGAATAATGTTTCCCACCGTTTTCATCTCCACCTAAACTGAGTCAACTCCATTCAGTGACACTGTAATGCTTCTTTCACTTCCGAGCATCATCAGTCCTCTCCAGTATGAAACGATTCAACCTACCTCAAGGTGAACTCAGAACTACTCTCTATTAAAACCATTTAAATGACAGGTAGACATTCTCATAGAACCACAAAAATACTTTAGTCTGGCTCTCCTGCTCAACTAAGCATCCTCATAGAAAACTTTATAAGTGGTCATATCTACGTTTAAGCAAAAAGATGTACGGTTTTTATGTTATGTTTTAAAATTAAATCCGTTGTCGTCTTGCCATATTCAACAGAAGGGAATATGTTGTTTTATTAGTCTCTAAAAGGCCCGTGGTAACTATGAAGGAGCTGCAAAGATCCACAGATAAGGTGTGAGAATCTGTTGACAGGACAACTGTGAATAGCTGAAAAAAGCCATAAGAAGTCTCATTCTGAGATTTTGACATGCAATGTAGGGGGTGGAAATGTGGAAAGGGAGACTTTTTTGAAATATATGGGAAACATTTGGTGTGGTGCAAAACTAACACTGCAGATCACATTGAACATCGGCACCCATGGTGAAATATTTTGGCAGCATCATTGTGTGGGAATATTTTTTTCTAGCAGGTCAAGAAACACTAGCCCTAGTTGATAAAATGGATGGAGCCAAACACTGAATAGTCCAGAGGGAAAACAAGAAGCAGAATGCAAAATCTGGGATTGTATTAAACATACAGCCAACAATGGAATGGTTAAGAAGAAGGCATATTCACACATTTTAATCATCCACATAAATTTAATATCTGATAATACATTAACAAGAATATATGGCAATACATGGAAATTCATTTTCAGAGACGCTGAAATTGAGCTATTTTGCGAATAACAATGGGGGGAAAAATGTCTTACTTCAAAAGCCTTGTAGCTGTAATTACAGTAATACAATCAATGATTTAAGGGGTCTGAAAACAAATGAGGTCACATTTCTTGGATTTTCATTGGTTGCAATCTTGAAAACCCTGTATGGTTTTTCAAATGTTTTCCCAATAAGCACCACTCATGTTTTGGTCTATCACCTAAATCCCAATTAGATGCAATGATTTGTGGCTATAACATGATAAAATGTAAACAGGTTCTGAGATTAAACAGTGAACTGAGAGGCTTATTGTTCTTTTAGCTTACATGGAAATGTCTCTTACATGTTTCTATATTGGCCTGTATGAATTATGAGTGTATCATGACTGACTTACATAAAGGGAATCAAACCTTGTAGATAAATGTCATGTGAGCAATTGTGTCCTCAAGCTAAATTTAACTGGAAGGTTAATCATTATAAATCTTCTCCACAACCTGCTTCAATCTTTGAGCTACAAAAGCCTTAAGTTTCTGAATTGTCATATTTAGATCATGCCTGAACACTTTCAATAATTTAATTTATATTTTTTGTAATGGGGCAGTTCACTAATCATATTTTTTATGTAAATGTTTCAATCTTTACATTTAGGGGATTAGACGTAATTGAAAGTGTTAAAGTTTTTTTTCTGTGGTTGTGCTTCCTAGCAAGAGAAAAATGACTTCTGAATATGACTGAGTCCTCTTCAGTCTGCTACCTGTTTGTCCTGATATCATTAAAGCTTTGCTTTTTTTTCCATTTAGGGTGTTGTTCAGTGATAGTGCAGGGCTTTGAGGCTGCAGTGTTTGTATGAGGCCATGTATCATGGGTTGTGAAGACATTAGGGGGCATGATACATTGCGTCTGTCATTCTCTGAGCTGCAGCTGCATTGCTGTGACTTTCTTGGCCAGGCCGTCCATCTCCACATTTCACAGCTCCAATGTGACTGCAGCAGGGAGATGAGGAATTTGCCTCGTCCTTGCCAAGTCCCCCCGTGCAGCCACTTGCTTCCTCTCAGAGAGGAGCATCTGCATCCTGTTTGCCGCTTCCTGGCTTGCTTGGGTCATCCCCCAGTCTACGTCATTACAGAGGACATCAGGCTGCATTCTCCATAAATTAAATCTGGGACTGCGTTTGCACAGGGACACACAGTCTGAGTTTAACCCTTGAGGTGCACTTCAAATAGCTTTTCTGTTATTGTTTCTTTTTTTTTTTATTTATGAAGCTTATGAATATGTGCTGTCAGTTTGATCATGTCTATAAATACCCCTATGGTGTTGTTTCTTGTTTGCGCACAACATCTGAATGTAGAAAAACTGTTTAAATAAATAACGTGCAGTATTATGAATTTTAACTTTTTTCTAAGCAATATTTTGTATCATATTTTGTTCATACAATTTCACGAAGGTTGGAACATGAGTTCTGCATTTTTGTGCTAAATAATTTATCAAAGATCTCTATTGACTTTGTATCTCAGGGGTGACGGCATGACCTCTCTTTGAAGTGAGGGCTATTTCATTGCATTCTGTGATTCTCTAGCATTTTAACCCTTCACTCAAACCACATCTTTTATTTTGAGTGTTTTTTGTCAATCTAAAGGGGACCGAGTTATGTTTTTGTGTACCCGTTTACTGCTTGGTGCAAGTCTTGATTCTACTTTCTTGAGGGTTACAGCTGAGGTCAGTGAGAGTAGTTCAATAACACTACACTGCACAGTTTGTTGTTGTCATTGGAAACCAACATTTACCTGCCACTTTATTAGGTACACCATTTGGAGCCCTTGTTGGCAGTAAGGAAAACTTTAGTTATTTAAGTATGTAGATGTTGTCAAACAGAGTATCAGAATAGCTAAAAAATGTTCCATCCAAACCACAGAAGAACAGACTGGTTGCCATGCTAGATATCAACAGTAAACTGTGGTTATAACTCACACAACTTTCTTGTGTTGGATGAATCTGGAATTGTTACTAGCAGTTTGTACCTAAAAAGTGGCCACTGAGCATATTAAGTGGAGCCCATATTATCAGACAGTAGTGCTTTCAACAGGCTCGTCTTTACATTTTTCAAAACACAGTTACCAAATAGTGATAAACGATCATATTAAAGTGACTTTTGATATTAAAGGAGCCCCCTGCTGGTTGCATCAGTAGGCTTATTTTTCCTTGAGGAAGAAAGTAATCACTGGTTTGCAATACCAAATGAAACACACCCCCTACCAGACTGTGAAATTGGATAGTTTGAAACGGTTTAAAGTGTGGAGAAAAAGTTTGTTCATAGATAACAGTAAAGTTATTGGAGCTCCAAATCAATAAGACATAACTGACTTTTTTCCCTCGTGACTTAAAAATGATTTTTTCTTTCTTTTTTTTTAAATCAAAGGAAAGTTTATGAAGCGTTTTTTTCTTCTTCTTTTTTCACGACGCCAACAGGGGCTGCTGCTATAACCCTCCCGGCACCCGTCTTCAACCAGCAACCATTTATAGCCTCGCGGTAACAAACAATCTTATTATGAGATTTAAACTTTGCCTCTGCCAGTCTGGAGGATCAACATGCGCTCCCCTCCCCTCGCACCTATTCCTCGATGTTTCCCCAACTGATACTGTAATATCTGCCTACCTACACGCCTCCCCGTGACAGTGGTTAAACGCCGGTGTCAGCTCTCGGTGTAATAGAAAGACCCAGGCAGGGCTCTGGGTCTCTTCAGAATAACATGAAGGCGAGCGACGAGAGGAGCTCAGTGCTGAATTAAATCAGCCTCCGCTTAATGGATCTCCCAGTCTCGCTTCAAGCAGGCAGTTGCTGCTGAGCCACCCTCAAACCGAAAGCAGGAAATCTGGATCCTTTTTTTTTTTTTTTTTTTTTTTGTAATTATTATTATTATTATTCCGCTTAGAAATTGTACTTTAAATGATTGCTTTTAATCTCTAACGCCGTAAATGACTCAGTTCTGTTTGAAAATGTGTTGTGCTCGTGGTGAGATACAGTAAGCCCTCTTGCTTAGTATCGGGACGAAGGTTCCTGCTCTGCCATCATTCAGCAGGTAAGCTGATTTTTTTTTTTTTTAAACCTAACTTTAAGGTTGCAGACTTTGAAGAGCATTTATTATGATCCGCTTCTATGCTTTGCATTCACATGTTGCTAGCGGCAAATCTCTAAGCCCAATGTTGTGATTTGAATAATAGCGCGGCTGAAGTGCTTTGGCTGTTGTGTCGGTGTGTGGAACAAGTTAGTAATGCTTACCTCTTAAAAATTAATAGTTCAACTTGAGCACCAGTCTGCGCAACCCGGTGGATTTTGCACTAGTTTCAGTGAGAGCTCATGCGCCCTGACATCAGATGGATGGACGCAAGGCACGGAGAGCAATGTTGTCGCGCCTGTCGTTTCCATCGACATTTAGTTTCATTTTTTTTCATCACCCGAAATTGTTATTTTCTTTGAGCATAAGATTTGCATTCATTTTTCAAGTCCATTCAAAGCATATCGGGTACTTGGAAGCTGTAAGCCTCATACTTCAGCCGCTTCAGCACCATGGCCAGCTCCAGATCGCTCTATTTGATTTACTTTACTAACTTTATTTCTTAGATTCATAGAAATAAACAAATATCAGATAATGGGGTTGTTTTCTGAACTTTTTTGTTTTCTTAAATATTTATTTAACACATAAATACTGCTATTTTCTTGGGCCCTCACACATCCTAACAACGCATACAAAATGAGAGCCTGCATCACGAATCTGTATGTACTTTTGACACCGTCAAGAAAAGTCAAGGCATACAAACTGATGCAACTTTAACAGAGTAATTTTAAGCGATCGGAATATTTCATGCAGTGCTATGCAGTATTGGTGCCCAGTTCTCGGAGTTGCTTTGTGCAGTCTCATTCAGATTAGCTGAGGATTTTGCTGCATGTGTGCCATCTGTCTGAAGAAAGCATACTAATTGTTGTTTCCTGGACGTGTCGCTTAATTTTAACAGTGGAAGTCTTCGTATGGAGTGATTTTCTCTTTTTCTAAGTCAGTACAGAATTAATCGTATAGATGTTGAGCTTGCTGGAGAGTCTTTTCTACAAATGAAGAATTATTGGTGAAATTGAGATGGGCATCAGTGGGGTCTCTAACGCCAGGTTCACTATAATGACAGGTTACACAAAATAATTTTAAAAAGTGTAATATTCTTTTATATTTATTCTTAACAAATTCTAAATGATATCTTATTAGTGGTATTAAAAAAAAGCTAGACTTCCTTTAAAGATTTTAAGCTCATCCTAAGCTGCTGTCAGTGTTAATCTTCTTCCAATATTTTTTTTTTTATTATTATTTTTTGCAAAGGACACACCTGTATTAGGATTTACCAGCCAAATGAATCTTCCAACTTTTGATGGTGGGAGTTGTGACAGTTCCAAAACATCTCCGTTTTGCTGTTGCTGCTAAAGATGTCTCCTGCATTTGCCTTCCACATCTCCCTTTTCCTGTCCCCGTCTCCCTTATCTTGATTATACAGCTGGATGATTGAGTCAGCTGTTTTGTATGCAAGCTGCCTTGGCTCGGCTCTTTGTGGAGGAGAGAGAACGAGATCGTGCTGAGGATACTGAGAGAGAATTACAGAGGCTCATGACCATGAGAAGCAGAAAAGACGAGGCTGCCCTGTTCGATAAATTGCTATTTGAGGGAGACCGATATCCTGGGGGGTGGGAGGGACAGTGGTTTTAGAAATATGACTAACCTTTCTAAATGGAAATGGCATTGTGCATTACAGTTTTCCACAAATCTTCACGTGGATTGATGAATCCAAATCGAATTCAAGTTGACAGTTTTCGGCATAAAATCTGGCTTTGTAACTTAAACATATGCATTAAATGTGCTGTCCCGATACAAAAAGGTTTATTCATGTACGCATATTTTGTTCTCCTATCTTGTCAGTTCTGATCTTACACTATAAACTTTGCCCAATAAAACTGATGTAAACATTTTCAATCTGTTAATCAGTTTATCAAACTAGAGTTATATTATAAAAAAGTTATAAGGGGCTAAACAAATCAATGGAGCGCTGGTTGTTTGGTTAACAGCGTGCAAAACTGTAATCAAAGGGACCAAGCAGGGTTTGTAGAAAAAGCTGTGAAACATATGGTACAACAGCATGGTCTAATTCAGTGGCACAGTTCTTGACAACCATTAATACTTATTGTGCTGTGAATACTGTGTGCCATTTTACAAGAGCAGTTCTGCCACCTCAGTTGCGAGTGTCACATGTGACTCTCAGCTGTTTTGTTAAAAGGAATAATGAGGCAACGCTTCTTGGTTTATGATGAAAGGACGGATCATGGAATTAGCCACAGGAGGAAAACGAATGAAAGGGACAAACTGTTTATTTGGCTAAAAATGAATAAAAGAAGCAACATTTCACTGGAGCCTGACAGCATATAGTGCTTGCATGATCCCCTGTAACATTTTTCTGTGTCACAACCACAAAGTTCAGTGCATTTTTTTTTTAGGACTTTAATGTGCTTGACCAACTCAGTGATGCATAATCATGAAAAGGAAGACAAAATATGTGTTCTAAATGTTTTAAAAATCAAATTCCCAAAATTGTAGCCTGCAATTTAATTAACCTCCCTTTATCTCTAAATAATAATAATAATAAAAAATAAAAAAAACATTTCAAACACGTGCCTTCATAATGTACCTAGCTGACAACGATAGTCGGAATGTGTCCAATTCAATCGCTTAATAAATACAGCCATTCTCCGGGGGCCTTGGAACTGCTGTATATTAGAAAACATTAGCGAACATCCGGCATTGTGATGACAAAGGAACACAACAGACAAAATCAGAACTAGTGATTTCAAAATATTTTAAGCACGATTATGGAGTAAATATTTGGTAAATAAATGTACCGATTTGCCATACAGTACTGTGGTGTCCAATCATCTGAAATGGATGACCAACAAAAACATAAATAGAGCAGTATGTAAAGAAGCAGCCAAGAGTCTAGTGACTCTGGCAGAGGTCTACAGCTCAGTTATCCATATTTGTTGAGCATGCCACAATTCATTACCTTTTCAAAAGAATTGCAAGGAAAAAAAGCCATTGATGCAGGAGATGCATAAGATTCCTCACTTTAAGTTTATTTAAAACCACATAATGGACACACTAATGCTCCAGACAGATGAGACTAAAATGCAACTTTTTTCAAATCCACGGAAAATACTAAGTGTGGTGG